CTGATCCGTGTCGATCAAAATAAACAATTCTATTGGCTTTAGGTCACGTGATTGACACGGCTTTAGACGACCCCCTAAATTTGTCGATTAGCCAATCAAACTAAGAAATAAACACGGATTAGCCCAACTAGACGGAATATCTCGGAATTGAACTAGTTGATTTTCAACTAAAATGATTCTCGCGGCTTATTTTCTGGTGATATATAGTATGATAATAATTGTCGGGGATGATGCTGAAATCGGATGATTAAAATTTTTTTGGGGTGTTTTGTTCAGCTTTTTTTTTTATAGTTCGATTAGAATTTAGGGTTAGTGTTTATAATAAATGGATTTTAGTAGGGTTTATAGTTTTAAATTAAGACTCCAAATTTCAGCATCATCCGATTTCAGCATCCCCGACAATAATTGTCACGGATCATAATGAAATCGAATTTAGAGTTTCTATTTAACCTTATCGTTATCGTTATCTTGTTTACTATAAATTCTACCCCCTAATGCAAAAAAAAAACTAAAAACATGTACCCCAAAATTTTGTATTTTCGGTGGCTGTCTAATCTGATTTCATTTTAGTCCGCCACAATAATTACGGCGAATGGAGCAATGGGAGTTCGTACTTTTTTTGTCCCGAATAACTCGTACGTACGTAGTTATTTAATCTATTTAATGCTAGAGATTCCCAATGAAGCAATTGAGTAATGAAGCACCAAAATACTAACCCTAGTATAAAAATCTATATAATACTGATACCAAAAATTAAATAATTTGTGTAACAGATCTTTCGGAATGTGTCGGATAGAATGCTTTAGAGAACCTTTTTAAAAACTAGGATTTTGGCATTATTAATAATACGTACATACTACTCGTTACTTTCCGTCAGCTTTATACATTACTTTTTCGTTCGCCTTCGAAACTATTAGAAATAATACAAAAAGAAACTGCAATATATATTAACACAAAGAAATTGTATTTACTATGTCATCCAATGATCCTAACTCTTACGGCACAGATGATGCCTTCGACGAATATATTGACATGGATTTTTTGAAAAGTGACACAATGGAGGAAGACGTTGATATTGGAAATATGTCCACTTCTGATCTTTTCCGTTATTATTTAGAAGGAGAACTAGCCAGGGACGCTACAAACCTTGACTCATCGATTTATGCAACACCCATGCAGAATGCTTCAGATGACTTTTCGATGGTGACAAGTCCTAACTCCGTAACAGAAGAACCTCAAATGAATTCAATAAATCTTATAGAAGAGTCTAACGCACTTTCTCAATCGACAAATGTGTCCAATGAGGTTGGGCCTTCCTTGGCTATGCTAAATGCGCAATTAGCCGAGTTATTGTCGAAGCTTCCTTCATTTAAGCAAGAGTCACATACTGACGGCAAAGCTCCGACTTTGTCTGGCTCCACATTACCAGTAAAGAATAATCCGCAGTCTAATGTTCTTGCTGCACTCAAATTGTCTGCGACTCCTAATAATAACAAAGAAAGTGAACATAGTAAACTTGATGATAGTGCTCAAATTGATTTAAAAAAACTATCATCAAAAGAGCGACGGCAACTTCGCAATAAAATATCTGCTAGAAACTTTCGTGTTCGAAGAAAAGGTTAGATTTAATTATCACATTATTCTTAAATTATTTATTATCCCCTCAATTAAATTATTGAGTTAAAAAATGTATATTTTTATAGAATACATTCAGAGTTTAGAATCGACGAAAGAGCAACAGCAAGAAGAAATAAATTTGCTTCGACAAGCTTTGATGCACTTGCAAGAAGAAAATACAAGATTGAAACAAGAAGTTGAAGAATTGCGAAAACAACAAAAACAAGCCAATAAGCCAGTTATTAATTCACCTCCGTCTCCACCTCACAATTCAACTCTAACGTCTAGAAGCAATGCTCAACGTTCCAAAGCGTCCCAGCCATCGTCCTCTGATCCTCGATATCTTATTCCCGACGTCAACAAAGATAAACTATCATCATCATCACCTGCAAATCAGATCGCATTGCAAGATCCTCGTGTTAGGGTACAAACAACGCTCATTCCTGAATTCAATCTTGATAAACATTTGTTCGAGGAAAAATCCGCATTTCCCTATTCTAGCATTTGGAATGATTCTATGGTCGGACAACCTTCTTTGAGAGATGTTATTGCATTTGACCAAAGGACTTTGTTCGCTTATATGTTGATCACTACTGTGATGCAACGACTTACCACATTGTTTATTGAAGCAGTATGTGCCACTCCGCAGAATAAAATGATTTCTGCTTTGTTCCCCCCGGAGACCTTAACTGAAAGTCTGCAATCTCTGGAGATTGTCGACGAAAAAGATGGTATACCGGATAAAGCTTCCGAACAACCTTTATCGAATGTCGAACGAACGAACGATGGAAGTAACGTCGAAGAACCTTTGTTAGACAATAATCCAATGGTCGAATCTATTAAAGAAGCTTCTGTGCTCGATTGGCTTTATGATACAATGGTAAAACATGTTGCTGAACAGAGTAAGGTAGAAGCCAGAATTATGGAGCTTAGTGATTGGGTTGGAGAAGAGTGGGATGATACTGTTTTGCCTTTCTTGTTTTAGACAACCCGATGTTTTCTTTAATAGAAGCCAATTTATATGCTTATATTTGTAAATATGTAAATTTTTGTTCGATTTTCAATTTTAACCGGTTAAGTCGATTTGCTCTTGCATTATGTTAGTGTGAGTTAAAGGAGGGACCGAACAATTCGCAGGGACCTCAATATATTCCTTTTATTACGTAGCAAAAATACTATGGTATTCGGATTTTCTTCTTTCATCATTTATGGACAATTATATAGTAACAATAATTATTTTTTCTTCCTAAATCAATATATGCTATATACTATTAAAAAAAAAAAAAAGGATTATCTATGTTATATTCTTTCAATGTGTCCAATAATTGTGATCCATTTGATTATCATCATGCACCCAGATTATAACGATTATTACATTCGTAGAACTAAAATTTTGTTATAATTTTATAAATCACCAATTGTAGATGGATTGATTTTTTTGAAAAATATGCAATAACGTTATAATGGTATCGGTATAGACTATTTCTTACAGATTAAATTTATTTTTAATATTAAAATTTACATAATAAAAATTATATGTTACTATTGCTACTGTAGTAGAAGTAAACCCCTCTTTTGTTTCTGGTTTTTTTTTTTTGTAAACGTTTGCGTGAGTGCGATATTCTTTTTAGTGAATGAATATAAAAACTTTGGGCCAAATAATTAATTCCGGAAATCATACCCCATTTTTTGCCCCCACTAGACCTAGCTAATCTAAAAAAATTCATATATGGTCAAATTAAGATCAGGTGTAACTAAAATCAAAACAAATATGCACTCAAACCCGCCGTTTTTAGATCGGTAACGATAACGCAAAGGCATAAAAAATGTCCGACTCAACGATTATTGTATTTTGTAGTCGTTATAACGTAACGCTATTTTTTTCCCTTTCTCTTTTGGTGTCTTATTTTTGCAACTATAAGTCATGGGAATAATAAAATGGTTATTTCTAACGAAATTGTCACAAAATTGCCATTTTGATTCGCCCGATATGGGTTTGTTCTAAATGTCATAGTAGTTCTATCTCGATGAAAATTGATGCTTTGTGTTCAATTTGTGACTCACTACGAAGTATGTAGGAATAATTACACATATAGTAAGAACCAAAAAAACTCGCATATATATATATTATTAGACAACGTTGACGATCCAGTGAGAATTACTAGAGGTGGAAGATCATTGGACTTAACGTTAATTGGATAGAGTTGAAAATGCAAATGTTATTGGGCTTAGTGAAAGTTCTAGTAACTTCCAGCAACTTTAAGAACTTACCTATACTATCCAACAAACGTTGCTTTTTTTTTTTTTAATACTGTATTATCTAAACTATTAAAAGGAATTTACCTTCATAAGGCGTGGCTTTAAGTTGAAATTTCCTTAATTCATCGATGACCTTATTTTTTTTTTTTTTTTGAATGTTAATGGTGAGACCATGTCTAAAGTGGTGCATACTTTATATATAAAATATATTAACCTTAGGGTTAGGGTCATCTTATCTTAGGGATATCTTATATTAGGGTTAGGTTAGGTTTTAGGTGGTTTTGACTAGGGATTGAACCCGGGTAGAAATAGTTACTATACGATTACATAATAACTTACCCGAATAACTCGGGTAGAGATTTTCTCAACGGATTCGATCTCTAGTTTAGACTGCCGTTTTTTGTATTTTCGTTAAATTTGGGGGATGGCTAAAGCCATGTACCCACGTGATTTTGATGTTTTAATCGTTTTCATTAAAATTAAGGTTAGAATTAGGGCTGTTGATATAAGAAGAGGGGTACTAAGTAAAATTGCCTTTTCGACATTTTTTAATTAATGCCCCAAGGTAGGTTAAGACTGCTGTTTTTCGTCTTTTTGCGTTTTCTTTATTTTTTACTGATTATGTAAACAAAATTTCGCAATTCCAGTTGATTGATTTATACAAAAAAGTCACGTGAATACATGGTTTTAAATGATTCCCATAGGTAATAGAAGATTAGCAACTCTTATAGTTGGTTTGCTCTTTAGTTAATCACATTTCTCTTGTATTTGAAAATTTTATTTTTGCAATATCTAGTATAACTATTTTATTGTCTATCATTTATTTATATATAAGCTTTAATTTTGTGTTATTTTTTTTTTTATTTTAAGATGCTCTTTGGTTTGAGTTTTATTGATGTTTGTTGACCACATGGGTCTACATTTTAGTATTACAATGAAAGTACAATCTAGCTACATGTGTAACTTTAGGTTGCTTATTTAAGAGGATTGCTAAAGTTTGTACCTTCATAATTTTCGAAGTTTTAATTGTAATTAAAGTTAGAGTTAGTTTATTGTTAAGGTAAGAGTAAGTATATAGATAAATCTCCTTTCTGCCATTTTTTATTAATATACTAAGACAAGTTTAGACTGCTGTTTTTTATATTTTTCATTTTTTTTAATTTTTTGATTTCTTTAAGCTGGTCCATATAAACAAAATCTTATGATTTTGATTAATGATCTATATAGAAAAAGTCACATAGGTATAAGGCTTTAGTAGATTCTCTATTTAAGTAATTTGTTTGAAAGTTTTATACTAGTTGGGGATATGACAAAAATCAGATAATTTTTTAGGGACATGCTATTTATTATATAATTTTTATCATAGATATATGATCAGCTGAGTGATTACATTATATATATAGAATAAATAATATATAATCAAATAGGATCCTATCAATAAAAATACAGCTTATACTGTATATTTTTTTCTATTTTAAGAAAATCATGTTTAAAAAATTTAGTGTAATAATAACAATAAACATCTATTAATAGCAAAACCTGTTAGATTGACATAATTTGACCAATTATATGAATACTTTTCTATGATTTTGCAGCAAAGATCAGCAACTAGATTTACAAAATCTAATTTTAAATCTGTTTTATCATTTATGATATTAAAAAAAGTAGGTATTAGCAAAAATTTTATTATATTAATTAATGCTGTAAATATTAATGGATATGATTTCACTTTTTATACTACCAGTAGTACAATTAAAAAAATATTTTAAAAATCTAAAAAAATATATATCTAAAAATTTTTATATACAAAAATCTAATAAATATACAAATATAATTTAGTATGATACATTTATCAAGGATCTGCCATGCATTTTTCAATTCTGAGGGCCAGAATTTTTTTTTATATTATTAATAAAGTTATTGCAAAAAAAATTTTTTATTAAATTATTATTTTTTGTAAATTTAGTATACTACTGGTAGTATACTATTTAGACCAATCTAAATAATAAAATTATTAACAAATTTTATAAACTAAAAATATAATTATATAAAAAATTTAGATAACTTATTATAACTAAAAAAAATTTATTAGTTGTATTATAATAATTATTATTTATATTATAAGGTTTTTTTTTAAAATTGTTACATTTTATTGTTACTCATAGTAAGCTATTTAAGTTTGGCTTAAATTAAAAAAATTTTATTTGATTAAATTCTTTTAAATATTTAATAAAAGTTATAAAAATTTATCTTTTAATTTTGATTTTAAAAGTTTTTTTGATATTAAATTAATTTATTTTATGTTATATTACTTTAAATTTTAAAAAAATTACATCTATTTTTTAATATAAATTTATAAATAGTTTTATATAGTATTTATTAGCAAAAATTTTAAATTTAAATTATTTTTTATATATTAATCTAATCTTTTTTTTTTTTTTTTTTTTTTTTTTTTTTTGTTTTGTAAATGCCATAGTTGAAACTTTATTTAATAAGATAGAAAAAAAATTCTACATTAAAGATTTCAGAACTACATTTGTGTTACTATATTAGGCATCCAATGTGACATTATACCCTCTAGTTTTCTATATAATGTAATTAATTATTGCTATAAATTGGTTTGTTAGAATAGGTTAGAGGAAACCTAAGGTATAT